CCCTAAGATTCTAAGATTTGAATGTTCTACAATATGACAGAAACCAGAATCTTCTGAAGTTCTGTAATGATAAGTCCCAACATTCTCATATTTCAAGGAGATAGAACATAGAACATCTAGAATCCGAAGGTCCTAGAACTCCAGTGTGTGAGTTCCATTGTAGAGCTCCAGATTCCATTCCAGAACATGGATGGTCTAGAACAGGGATTGGCAAACTTTTTTTGGTAGAGATCTAGATAGGAAATGTTAGGCTTTCAGAGCCAGCCTCTGTTACAACTACTCACTTTGCCATTGTAGCCAGAAAGCAGCTATTGACACTGTGTAAATGAATGGATGCGACTGTGTTCCAATAAAACTTTATTTACATAAACAAATGGTGGGTTGCATTTGGTCTGCAGGTCATGGTTGGCCAAGTTCTGGTCTAAAAGCTGAGAGTTCCTGAAACTGAAGACTTTCATTGCACTAATGTTCTCCTGGCTGGGACTTGGATATTCTATCATTCCATGAATCTGAAATCTGTGTTGGCAAATTCTAGAAGTTCTGGTATTTTTTTTTTCTTTTTTTGAGACAGAGTGTTGCTCTGTTGCCCAGGCTGGAGCACAGTGGTGTGATCTCGGCTCACTGCAACCTCCGCCTCCCAAGTTCAAGTGATTCTCCTGCCTCAGCCTCCTGAGTAGCTGGGATTACAGGCATGTGCCACCATGCCTAATTTTGTTTTTTTAGTAGAGATGGGGTTTCACCATGTTGGTCAGGCTGGTCTTGAACTCCTGACCTTGTGATCTGCCCACCTCGGCCTCCCAAAATGCTGGGATTACAGGCGTGAGCCACCATGCCCGGCAAGTGCTAGTATTTCTAAGGAGACAGAAAACAGCACTTCTAGAATACTAGGGTCTCAGATTAAAGAGGTCCTAGCTTTCTGAGGTTCTGCAATTCATTGGAGAGTTCCACGTTCCATTCCTGAATCCACAGGGTGAAGGTAGGAGTAGGTGCGTGCTCTAGGAGGGGAGGTTCTAGCAAGCCGCATTCCCGCAATTCTGAGATTGGAAGGTTGTACAGTTCCCTGATTCTGAGATTTTATGGGGGCTACTTTCTACAGTTCTGCATTTCAAGGAGAGAGGATAGTCAGGCGCTTGAGCCCCAAGATTCTAACACTGAGTCTAGTGTCTGGATCTCAGAATGTTAGGGTTCTCAACAGGTTTTTGCAAGAGGAGAGTTCTGGTTCTCAGACCACATGGATTCTACTACCTTGAGGGTTCTAGATTTCTTTGCTTTCAGAGTCCAGATTGGGGATCAACTGGAGACCGTGTTTCTCTTGAGTGGGAACGACCTGGCCATTCATCTCTACAAGGAGGTGAGGTGGGGAGGCGTGCTGGGCAAAGCCCTGTTGGGGGGGGTCGCTGTGGGCTGGCGCCGGGTAGGTGCATGTGTGAAACTGATGGCTGGCTTAACCTGGGGTGGGGTGGGTCTTGGTTCCCCCAGAATGAGGGTCTGCATCAGTTTGAGGAACAGCCCGTGGAAAACCTCTTCCCAGAGCTGACGAACCTGACCAGTAGGTAGGAGAGGCCCCAAAAGAGGCCAATGGGGACCGGGGCAGTGACATCAGAGAAATAAGGCGGTGGGACCTTAGAAAAATTGGGCCCCAGGGAAGAGCTCAGGAAAATCAGGCCATGGCATGATTTCAGAGAAACTGATCAGCAGGGGTGACCCCAGAGAACACGAGATGTGAACTCAACCCTAGGGTCGTGGGGATTATCCAGGAGGAATAAAGCAGCAGGATCCCAGGGGTACAGGGAGGGGTTGCTGTCCCTGGGGAGGCAGAGGGGCGGGGCGGGGCCCAGCAATGGCCCTCGGGCCTGTCCATCCACCTGCCCGCCAGCGTCCTCTGGCTAGACGTCCACAACCTCCCCGGCACGTCCCGGCGCCTCTCAGCTCTGGGCTGTCAGAGTGGTTATGTCCGTGTCGCCCACGTAGACCAGCGGAGTGGAGGTGAGGGCTGCGGTGGGGCGGGGCCAGGGGTGGGGTTGAGGGCTGGGGCGGGGC